TCACAGGAGCTAGAATCTCGCCGGTAAATTCTATCTCTGGCGAAAATCCTCCCTTCTGGTTCCAGTGCCGGTTCGGGCTCGCCCTCACCAGAGGACTCATACAGAACGCCAATCTGGACACGTTTCTGCCCTGCTCACAAGCCGCCTTCCCTCGTCGGCAAGCCACTAGTGTCCTCCGCCATCGCCACCGAGGCGACGCCTCTTGCGAGCTCCCATACGTCGCTCGATCACCGCCCTCGTCCTCGGTATTCTCACTCCTAACAGGCGACATTCCCCGATTGACCACCCTACAAGATCTCCGTTCGCCGACAACTAGTTCCTCCATGTCCATGTAGAACATTCTCGATTGTTGCTTTTTCCAGCGTCTGGAGAAGATCGTTGAGAACCAAGAGGAGGACGGAGGCGACAATGGCTCCTCGTAAGAATCCCGATGAGGATCAACCCTAGGATCCAAATTCAATTTGTCGGATCTGGACCTGAAAAGGTTCGAGATTAACGAGAACCTCCCTTTCTTCTTGTTGAAAGATGCGGATGCTGCGAAATCGGTGGTGGTGGTATATGTAGGACCCACCTGAAGAGTGCTATAGAAGCGGAGGACGTGGTGGTGGGGCCAAGAGACATCTCAGCATCCATCTCAGCAAAAAAAGCCACATCAAACACGGAGAAGGGGCAGATGAACGGACGGTTAAAAGTTAGCGGAATGATGATGTCAACCTTAACAGAGGGGTTGATTTGCCACTGCATGTGAGTTGAGGGGTTGATTTGCGCGTGAAGTGGGTTGAGGGGGTGATTTGCCACCAGTTGTTGAGTTGAGGGGGTGATCTGCACCTTTTGCCTTTTGCAATCGTGCTTTTACAAAATTTGATTATAAGCCATACTAAAATTTTTCTTCCAGAAAAACTAAAAATTTACGAGACAGCAAATGGCTTTTAAGGATGTCAATTACTTAAAAGCTCCGCAAAACCATGCTCTAAATGACGTCTGTTATGTTTGCTGATGTCTCTAAATTTAAATATACAAAAATTTTAATCATATAATTATTGAACTTAGGTGAAAAATGAATTAGCAATAAAAAGTAATTTGCAAAAGAAGAATTTGACTATTATTAGAAGTTCGAAATCTGGAACGAATATACATCGATCCACCAAGTATTTATTCCAACTAGAAAATATATAGACTAGAGTCGTTTAATTGCTCCACATAGCTAAAAAACCCAAAATATACTTAACCATGACCATCCGATTCTGCTTCTATGGAGTGTTCATTTGGTTCTCCAAATTAGTCATCTGTCTCTTGAATTTTCTTAGCTTCCGTCCAACGATCAGTCTAGTTTTCACTACGTCAACTACAGATGCAAGGATAGGAATAGAACCGGCAAGCAATTCAAACAACCGTGTTGTTGCAGTTTTTCTACCAAAGATGTCTGGCCTAAGAGTTAAAGCAGTAATCTCAACAAGAAGAGGAAACTGCAACAACACAAAGCACATGATAGGAATACCAGCAAGCACGGTTATTGGAATGAATTCCTTCCCTTGATCTCGTAGCATCACGTAAAGAGTAGCACAAAATGCTACTGTCAATGTTGCTGTTAGAAACTGAAAAGAAGGAGAAATATCTGAAGAAAGGTTTATTGCTTTCTTGAATTATACTATATGTACAATGACCTATATATAGGTGTTTACAAGGAGAATATTCTAAGGTATAAAGTATACAAAGAGAATATTCTAAAGTATAAAATATTTACAATAAT